TCATGTATATGTGACTGGGTGAGGGTGGAGTGGAGAGGTCCTGGCGAGAAAGTTACATATTCTAAACACATTATTGTGAGATTTTTTCTCCGCAATAATCTGATATTCTACAACGATAGTAACACAGGTCACACTGATCAAATTGTTATATAATCAACAATACACTTTTTTCTCTAACAAAAATTGTAACTTGTCAACATTTATAACTTTCTTTAAATCTACTGTAAAAACTCGGTCAATAAGTAAGTATCCTTCTAGGTTTAAAAACATGAATGAAATATCACCCTTGTGATAAAATGAGATGAGATTTCAGCCTCCTGTATACAAACATCTATATCAACCTATCAATCTTGGTAAGATTTCAGTAAAATATATTTTTATAAAGAGTCCACTTCGTATGTAATAAAATACTAGTCAACCTATTTAGCCTCAAAGTTAATCTAATATTTTAAGTATTTTTACCGTATATCAAGTAAACAACTGCGTTTGATATTTATGAATAACGCCGACATATTTTAAAAAATGCAAGTCACACTGGTAGTCTTGTTTCGTGTTTAACTAATAAAACACACTTTACTTTTTGTAATGACAGTATGGCACTTGTTTTATGAATATTAAAACTGCCTGACCCCAGATGAGCCAAAATATTTCATTAAAATCAACATTGAGAAAAATGTAACTATGATTTTAAGAATATAAAATATTTACAATTTAAGAAATAATTTACATGTTTTTAATAAGTAACTAACGCAGCAAGGGTTATATTTTCATATTTTTACCATGTTTGCCAATTTTCGTTGTTTTAAGTGCCGTTTTTAATGTGTCATTACTTTCTTTGTTCAGTTGAAATTTTTTTTATTTTTTAATACATTTTTACAAAATTCTTGAAAATCAGCATAAATCTGGAGGCATGGCGCTTAAACAGATTTCGAATTTCATGGAATTGTTTGAACTACATATGGATCTCAAAATTTAGCGTTAGTAGAAAAAAATGTGAATTTCCACTGATTAAGATGTGCACTTGAACCCCATATGTGAAGGCAAAAAAAAAGTCATTCACAAGGCAAGTTTTTAACTTTTTCAACATTTTTACGAAATTCAACGCTTTTGATTTTTTGAAGAAAATCGAAATGTGGTTCCACCCTTCTGACTTTCCTCTATATTCACCATTTATTATATCATGGATTTTCATGCAGTCTTTGTGGAGATATTCTTACTGGCTTGGGTCTTGGTGTGTCCAAAACATGCAATGCGTATAAAGAAAACGTTAAAACAGAAAGTTTTTATGAAATCCAAATGCAGAACATTGTAATTCGATTGTCTTTTGTGAAGAATCACATTGAGATTTGCCGACGGCTGGGGTTGTATGTACCACAGGCGAGCTGAATGTCACACTCAAGTCTGCGTCGGCGAAGTTGCCCGATTTGGCGGCGGCAGCGCTACTCATCTCGCGTGGCATCTTCACCTTTATTCTTACTACAATTAATAGCAAACAACAAGTTAGGTAAGCATGCAAACCATCATGTTTGTGTTATATTGAGACTTAATATGGCCAAGTCCTCTACCGCTAAATATCACAATGTTAACATTAACTGTCGCAAATTTTTACCCTGCTGTACCATCGCCCGTCCAATGTTGTAAGACGTATTTTCAGATTAAATTTGATAGAGATAGTGCATGAGATCTTATTTAAGGTATCGTTTTTATACTTGTTGAGTTTTTAAGACGTACACGATTGCGATATGTAAATTTGTGCTGATGATTGAATACTGCTTAAGCTTGAGAAATGAGATATGTTGCTCCTTTCAATATCTTTAATGATCATATACAATGACTCCGATTCTGCATTTTCACCTTTTTTCCTGTTCTCTTTTATTTCGAATGATCTCCCCTTTTCCAGATTGAGTATCGAATTAAGGGAAGCAATTCTAGCACATGTATTGCTATGTATATTTTATAGTTGTTGAACATACATCGTTTTATATATAATGTCTAGCTATACCTATATTGATACTTGTATAATAAACATGTATCTTAAATCTATGTCTCCTTGTTCCAATAATTGATAAGTCATATCATCGTGTTTAACATAATATTAATAAGGAAAAAACATGGATTAACTATTGGATTATAAGCATTGATTACATGTATTTAGGTAGAATTTACATAACGTGGAACAGTTTAGTGTTTGGAGTTAAGTGAACACTTTCATTCAACATCAAAACTGGGATGGGACTCTTTAGTTTCGCCAAGAACTCATTGTGAATTTATGTTCGGAGGGCTCTAATAAGTAAGCTATGAGGAAGACAAATAAAATTATTTAATGTAATGTAATTGTCTTGAGAGAAAACACGTTATATTTATTTCACATGGACATTGTCATTCTCACGGTTTAGAAGTGATTAGGCTGCATATTTCCCCACCCTGTGACATTTTGGCACCCAACACTGCTAATTCACATTGCTATTTAATCCTGGTAAATTCAAGGACGAATTTCATTAAATTCATTACAGCGAGGAAGTATGTCACGGTTAAGAACTGTTTATTAATTAGGGGAGATCGTGTTTTAGCGACCGGATAGCTCAGTCGGAAAAAACACGGTATGACGGTATGACGGTAGTCCGAAGGTCCCACAAGATATAAGGTATCAGTTAAGATCTCAAATACAGGTGGGAGGAAAAACAATTGTACAATATCATCGGGTTGTCAATGAAAGGCTTATTTTATAGGGATTTGGACAGATACTTATATTTTTACTAGAATATTCAATACAATTAAATAAACATGGATACAATGATTTTGGAAAAGGTGAAGTTGTCAAAAAGCATACTAAAATATAGACTACATGTATCATTTTTTCATGAGTTAAAAACACGAAGACTGATAACTTGTCCAACGAGAACACCATAAGTTCCTAGCTTTTTAGCTCACCTGTCACACAGTGACAGGGTGAGCTTTTGTGATCGCTTTTCGTCCGGCGTCCGTCCGTCGTCCGTCCGTCTGTCGTCCGTCCGTAAACTTTTACTTTAAATGACATCTCCTCATAAACCACTAAACCAATTTCATCCAAACTTCATAGGAATGTTCCTTTGGTGGTCACCTTTAAAAATTGTTCAAGGAATTTAATTCCATGCAGAACTCTTCCATGCAGAATATCTTCTTTAAAAAACCAAAAGAGGTAGAGCTTAGATATTTGGCATGAAACATCTTCTAGTGAGTGTCTATCAAGTTTGTTCAAATAAAAGTCCTGGGGTCAAAATTGGCCCTGCCCCAGGGGGTCATTGATTTTCCCTATATGCATATAGTAAAAACTTAAAAAGGCTTCTTTTAAGGAACCCAAAGAACTAGAGCTAAGATATTTGGCATGAAACATCTTCTAGTGAGTGTCTACCAAGTTTGTTGAAATAAAAGCCATGGGGTCAAAATTGGCCCCGCCCCAGGGGGTCATTGATTTTCTCTATATGCTTATAGTAAAAACTTGTTCTAATGAGTGTCTACCAAATTTGTTCAAAAAAGAGCCCTGGGGTCAAAATTGGCCACGCCCCGGGGTCATTGATTTTCCTTGTATGTGTATAGTAAAAACTAAAAAATCTTCTTTGGAAAAAACCCAAATAGCTAGAGTTTAGATACTAAGCATGAAACATCGTCTAGTGTGTTTCTACAAAGTTTGGTCAAATAAAAGCCCTGGGGTCAAAATTGGCCCCGCCCCGGGGGTCATTGATTTTATTTATGGGTATAGCAAAAACTTTAAAAATCTTCTTTAAAGAACTCAAAGAGCTAGAGCTAAGATATTTAGCATGAAACATCTTCTAATGGATGTCTACCAAGTTTGTTCAAATAAAAGCCCTGGGGTCAAAATTGGCCACACCCCAGGGGGTCATTGATTTTTTTTATGTGAATGTAGTAAAAACTTAAAAAATCTGCTTTTAAAGAACCCGAAGAGCTAGAGCTAAGATATTAAGCATGAAACACCTTCTAATGGGTGTCTACCAAATTTGTTCAAATAAGAGCCATGGGGTCAAAATTGGCCCCGCCCCGGGGGGGGGGGGTCATTGATTTTCCTTATATGTGTATAGCAAAAACTTAAAACATCTCCTTTGAAAAAAAAACATTTAGCTAGAGTTTAGATACTAAGCATGAAACATCTTCAAATGTGTGTCTACCAGGTTTGTTCAAATAAAAGCCCTGGAGTCAAGACTGGCCCTGCTTTGGGGGCCTATATACAGGTGAGCGACTTCAGGGCCATCATGGCCCTCTTAATAGAGATCTTGAAATGTCCAATCGTTTTAATTGTCTGAATACAAGGAATTCCAGTCAATAATTGCACTGTGTTAGAAAATTAAAGTTATATCATTTTTTTTTCTTTTCCATCACATTTAGGAACACTGAATTCGTACTGATTTTCCCGTGTATTTCTTTAGCAAGGTACCTATTTATGTTTAATGTATGAAGGGCACTTTAAAAACATGGTTAAAACCAAATTGCTTATTTTTGTTTTCTTCATTTAACTAAGACATATCAACAATACCAACATTAATAATACTTTCTTTTGGTCCCATGCCACGTTTCGGACTGGAACTTTTTTATCGGCAATGATTTAACTTGTTATCTCCTCATATGCGTTAAAAGGATAAACATTTTAAACGTACTTACTATATAATTTATACTATATAGTTCTATTTCCTTAATAAGGAATTTGTGGCAAATATAAACACGTGTTAAGCTTAGAAATGACATAAAAATCTTTAGCTGACAATAAGTTTTCTTAAATCAGCAAGTTAAAAATGTTTAAGGTTCTTTCTTATATAGTGCGCCAAATTTATTATCTTTCGGACTATATGACATTGTTATTTGTAGAATGTTTGACGTTAGATATAGTTACTATGATAGGTTTAATAGCGTCGTCTTGATGTATTGATTAATATTGCAGTAATACTTGTCGGTATTTGTATGATCCTTTTATTCTATTTTGTTTTGGATTTTGATGAAAATGGCTGTGAATGTTGCCAATTCTGCTTAACGAATGCGCTATTTGTAACGAGACATTGAAAAATCCTAAACTATTATCGTGTAACCATACATATTGTGAGCTTTGTATAAATACTTGGATTTCTAAATCAAAAAAGAATTCTGGTATAGAATGTCCATTATGTCGACAAGTTACACCGCCCCCAAAACCTTGTGTAGGCGCAGCATTTTGGGCATCTATGTTACCGGACTTAACAGCTGGAAAAGAAATTGATGTTCTGTGTAAACCTTGTGAGTCAATACAAGAGCGAAATGCGGCGAAGTTTTATTGCCTGGAATGCAAAGAATACATGTGTGTTTTCTGCCGTGTGTCTCATACAAAATTTAAAGTACTCAAATCTCACAGGACGGTTGAACTTGACAGTCATGACGAGAATAGTATTCAGTCGTTCAAAGAGTACAGTAAGCTCCTTATGTGTGACTTACATCCTGTGAAAGAGATAGAATTCTTCTGTGAAGACGACGATGCTTTATTTTGTTCAACCTGTGCATTCCTTCATCATAGATCATGTTACAGTGTTAAGGAAATAAAGGCAGATTATGCGGAAATCAAGACAGTAAAACCACTTTCGGCTATTTCTAAAAACCTAAAAACAATTAGAAAAAAAGTAGAAGAGGTTTCTGCATTTCATAATAAAAACAATGAGTTACTTGTAAAGAATGAGCGTGAAATAACTGCAAAATTAAAAGCATCGGAACAAAATATTCTAAGAAGCTTAAAAAGTTTTCACGGCGAAGTCATAACCAAACTGAATGAAAAGAATAGGCCTTACAAGACGACCAATGATGAAAAAATAAAGATTTGCTGTGAAATTATTGAGAATCTGAAAAGGGCTGAAAACACAGCAAAAGATACAATGGGCGTGGCATCAGGTAGTGCAGAATACGTCATCATGTCAAGAAGGCTTGAAAAAAGGTACGATGAAATTCAAAATCAAATAGAGACACACGAGCTAAGTACAAATACTTCCAACAAATACATGTTCGAATTCAATGAAGACTTTTTCAGATCGCTCAACCAGATTGAGACGTATGGATGCTACAAAGAAACAAAATGTCCCCGTCTAATCATTGAATTCTCAACAACGGTTAACAAATCAAATTTTGTTCCAACCAAAGCGATGAAAATAAGCTCAAAATTAGCAAGACGAAAAACCTACTTTCCGTCTGCTTGTTACATGTTTGATGATAAAGAAGAAAGGGTGGTTTTAGCAGACTAAAGGAAAAAGCGTCTGGTTATTCTGTCAGGAACTGGAAACGAAGATACTGTCAAACTAAACTTCGACCCATACGCAATCTTGATCACTAAAAAGAGCCTGTATGTTTCTTTTCCACATGAGAAGAAAATACGAAAAATATGCCATAAAACGTTCTTTCGAGCAAGTTGGTGAAATTCGAACTAAGCATAAGTGTTATGCTATTGATTTCCTGTTGAAAACAAGCGAAAGCAAGATTGTTGTATCCTTATATGACGAAAAAACCTGGAGTCTGGCTATATACAGAGAAGATGGTTCCACTGAAGTTAGTTGCCTTAAAGGAGACGCTTCTCAGAACCCTTTCACGTCACTTTGGTATTTCAAAATCATTGAAGGCTGTGTGTATTGGTCATGCCAAGAGGTCTTATTTGAATACAGAAACAAAGAGCTCAAACGTCCAGGCGGTATTGGTATTGACTCTGAAGAAAACATTTACGTTTGTGGAATGGCGTCCACAAATATACATGTCCTTTCAAAAAAAAGGAAAGCTTATTAGCGTTGTTAAGCTTGATGAAGATTTTGTGCCAACATTTATTGCATTCAGTGACAACGGTGCGGATTTGGTGTTTCTTGGCAATGCAAACAGTCCGGGGCCATTCTTCTACCAGTTGAAATAAATAGTCGCCCCTGTGGCCAATGATGAGAAGCTACTAAGCTGCAAAAATATTTGTTGTTCTGAAAGAACTTAAGTAAAAGTTGCGAAGTGGAAACATTTTGTTGAAGAATGATCCTGACTTGTTATGACGTTAACCAAGTGAAAATTCCTGACACCAACATTAACTAACAAATTAACAAGAGGATTGAAATCTAAACATGGTATTATTGGAATGAGTCATTTAATAGATTCCAAACATTTTACATACAAATATGCACCTTTTATAGCAAGAACTTTGTTTATATAATTCTAACACGCGTCTGATAGCAAAAAGATGGGAAAATTGAGTTCATTATTACACGATACGTGTATATGCACAGCATATTTAACGAATGCTTACACGTCACAAGACATAAAAAAATACTTCTACGCGCAATGTTGTTCAACATATGTTCATGAATACTCTATTTTATTTGCATGTTAGAATAGAAACAGACATTAATCTTGCATTGTGTTATGATAATGCACGCTTTATCGTTCAACTGCTTTGCAATTAATCACTTCGGTAATTATAGTCCTGCGCAGTTGAACTGGAACCATGTACTATTCCAGAATAATGCACACAAAATTGATATATATATATATTTCCAAAACAGCTATCTGTTTTGTTGTAAGAGACATTGTACTGATTTGTTTTTAATAATTAGTTTTAGGTTAATTGAATGTCATGAGTGAATAACGTGTCAAAAATTATGGATATTAAGGCGTAATGAATAGGAAACAATTTTAGACACTACATGTATTAAGACCTTAAGCTTGGAACGGCGCCGGTTGAAATTACATGTGGCATTGTTTATTTCATGTCTCACAAAGCGTCAAGGTGGATATATAGACTAAAAAGTCATGATTAATTAAGTTTCCACACAAATTAGCACCCTTAAAGTAACTAATTTGGTTATTTAATGTCCGGAGTTTGAGTAACCTTTTTTGTTTTATTGTGTGTTTCTTTTTTGTATTAAATAGAAAATATTTTAATAAACAGTTGGTTTACTTCACCGATTAATAGTTTGCCGATTTACCAAAGTAAATGAGTCAAGATTCATTCGACACTGCAATCCTTTTGGACAAACAAAATTCAAACAAATGTAGATGATTTACTACTAAGTGACGGTAGTTTGCACAATTTAGAATAATTTTATCTGTTTAAAACATGCTTTTGAGATTTGTCTTGTGTGTTTAAATATTTTTATCTAAATTCTGATTAGTTTGAAGACTAAAATTAATGTTTACCAAAGACCTTTATACACCTTTTATCTGAGATAAAAAGAAGGACTCTTGAAAATCCCATCTTACCCGCAAATGAAGATAAAATTTCAATCGTATAACGACAATTGTAAATTTTTACGGCATGGGCTTTTGGTGGGCATTGTATTGATTTAATCTTAAAATCATTGCAGACATTTCATCGTCAGAACCCATGGTAATTCTCATTTTGTGTACAGTAGGGTTTCTGTTACAAAGGCCCTGTTACATTATATAGTGTGTGAAAGGAACGTATAAATTGCATACGGTACATTTTTTGGCATAAAAACCAGCCATTCTGAGACCACATTCATATCTTTGGTAATGAAAGTCAATCAAATCCTAATACATAACCTCCGCTTTGAAGAAAATTTATACAATCAACTGCATTGAAACTGAACTGAAAGTCGAATGTTCAAATCCAAAAATGATCAGCTGTTTTTTTTTCATTTAACATTATTTATCATATACGCGTGCTGCTTTTGCGACTCGTAAAAATGGTTTTGCACGGCGGTGAATATATCTTTACGTGACATCATTTGCGTTATACAAGCATAGTGTAAGGATACGCTAAAATTAATATTTGCGTTAGTGAAGACCGGGGATAGTAAATGCATTTTTTCTCTTCAGATTTTGGTTTATATTGTTTTTTTCTAGCTGGCCTTTTAGATACCTCTTGTGTGCATGTTAACATTCAAATCTGCTGTAATGAGGTCGCCAGGTTTCTCGAGTCTAATGCATTATTTCTAGGGACATGTTGATGCAATTAATGCCCAAAGAATATAAATAGTAAATCAAAGTTTAAAACATATTTGATACAGAACGTTTGTTAATACAGTTCATAATTTTAGTAAAAATGAAAAATGTTACGTCAAAAGTATTTTTTATTTTATTTTGTAAAGAAGTATGAATCTAATCGGCACGTCAGTCTGTATACGTATTTTGTTTATATTTATATATCTGTTGGTTAACTTAGTGAAAAGACTTTAGTAACATTTCAATTTTACAACGAAAAACACAAGTTGTATTAACATGTATTAAGGATTTGAGAATGTGTAAAGAATTTGAAATCCTTCTTGAAGATTAAAAAAAAAAACAACAAAAAAGAACAAACAAACATAGTTCAATCATATCATTTATAATATTTTACAAATTCACATTTGGAACATTTTGCATTGTATATTCATCATTATCATATTAAAATGATGATAACAAATATCTAGTTTTGTCCTTATGACAGACCTTAGTGCACTGAATAGTTTTGTTTGTTTTGGGTTTTACCTCACATCGACACAGTATAGGTCATATCGCGACGTTCCAGCTTTACTGGTGGAAGAAGACCTCAGATGCCCTTCCGTGCATTATTTCAGGCACGAACGGGCACCTGAGTAAAACCACCGACGTTCCGTAAGCTAGCTGGATAACTTCCGCACTGAATAGAATCAATTATATAGGTTTATGTGGAGTACACCAGATAAGTTTTGTGACGGACGGACAGACTGACGGAGAAGTGGTCCCTTTATGTCACCACTACTCTGTAGAGGCAACACAAAGAGAAAGGAAGAAAGAAATAAAAGAAGAAAAATAATTCATTCTCTAAATCCATTTATTTAGTTTAAAATATTTGCAAGTACGATATCTTTAATAATATCTTCTTTCGTCAAATTATTAACATTTAACAATATATGAATTAAATAACATATTAAAATAGTTCAGAGAGCAAAGAAATGTGGTTAATTTCAGAATTCAACAACAGTGTCTAGGATATTTACCTATACATTACAATTCCACTTTAAAAATCATGTCAACGTGCTTAAAGGCCCAATTATGCCCCAAAAATGACTTTATTTGTATTTCTCAAAAACTTTTACTTTTGATATACTTTTATATTTTCCAAATATTACTCATGATGATGAGCCAATTTCCTGAACAATCTTTTTCTTCTGTTGGTCTTTGGCATTTAGTACAGTTAAAGCGATTTAGTATTTGGCATTGAAGTCAAAATACTACTTTGTTTACATTTTGCTACTTTTAGGACAAATTTTTCACATTTAGAACTACTTTCTTAGGAAACAAGCATCTTACATGCTCTAAAACCATAATTAAGACGTTATAAAATTCATGTTTGCTTTATCTAAAAAAGTAACAATTCTATTCATTTCTGAAACATAATAAACCCCAATAATCGAGTCATAACTAATGGCTAACATAACTATTATGAGGTCACAAACAGATCCTATCATTCAACACCAATGGTAAACAGCATGTTATTCCAGAATATAGCAGATAATGCCACAACTGATTCCTTTATATGCAAGATTAAAATTAAACCCAGATATGTTAACAATTAAGAAACATTTTGTTGGTAATTAACTAAAAATAACTCAAAAGTATGATGCTATATTTTTTTGAAACATTTTTTATTGCACAATTATACACACTTTTGTTTTTTCACTCATGTATATATGAGCCGGGTCACGACAAAACCAACATAATGGGTTTGTGATCAGCATGGATCCAGACCAGCCTGCGCATCCTCGCAGTCTGATCTGGATCCATGGTGGTCGCAAACACACTATGTTGGTTTTGTCGTGTCGCTGCTCATATGTATGTGTGACTATATGCTATATCTCCAAGTCAAATTAGCATATTTGCTGATAAAATAGACACCTTAAATAATGAAAAACTTCCAACATAAAACAAGAGGGCCATGATGGCCCTGAAGTCGCTCACCTGAATATAGGCCCCCGGAGTGGGGCCAGTTTAAACCCCAGGGCTTTTATTTGAACAAACTTGGTAGACACCCATTAGAAGATGTTTCATGCTAAACATCTAAGGTCTAGCTGGTCAAGTTCTTTCTTTACACATATAGTTTAAAACAATGACACACCTGGGGCAGGGCCAGTTTTGACCCAAGGGCTCTTATTTGAACTATCTTTGTAGACACTTACTAGAAAATGTTTCATGCTTAATATCTAAACTCTAGCTATTCGGGTTTTTTCAAAGAAGATTTTTAAGTTTTTGCTATACACATATAAGGAAAATCAATGTCCCCTGGGGCGGAGCCAATTTTGACACCAGGGCTTTTATTTGAACAAACTTTGTAGACACTCACTAGAAGATGCTTCGTGCTTAATATCTAAACTTTAGCTATTTGAGTTTTTTCAAAAAAGATTTTTAAGCTTTTGTTATACACTTATAAGGAAAATGAATGACCCCCAGGGCGGGGCCAATTTTGACCCCAGAGCTTTTATTTGAACAAACTTGGTAGACACTCACTAGAAGATGTTTAATGCTTAGTATCTAAACTCTAGCTATTTGGTTTTTTTCAAAGAAGATTTTTTAAGTTTTTGCTATACACATATAACGAAAATCAATGACCCCCGGAGCGGGGCCGGTTTTGACCCCAGGGCTCTTATTTGAACAAACTTGGTAGACATCCATTAGAAGATGTTTCATGCTTGATATCTTAACTCTAGTTATTCGGGTTTTTGCTATACACATATAAGGAAAATCAATGTCCCCCGGGGCGGGGCCAATTTTGACCCCAGGGCTTTTATTTGAACAAACTTTGTAGACACTGACTAGAAGATGCTTTGTGCTTAATATCTAAACTTAAGCTATTTGAGTTTTTTCAAAAAAGATTTTTTTAAGTTTTTGTTATACACACTAGAACTCCGCGAGTCGGATGTGTCGCCTTGTGAACAATGTAGTTTAGGGGAAATGGCCAGGACAAAAATGAAATATGAAAAATAACAAAGGGCAATAACTAAAAAAATAATAAGTGCAGAGCAGCAATTTCTGTACACTGCACTTCTTATCAATAAGATCTATCATTCTATGATGTTTCAAGTCCATAGCTTTCATACTTGAGGAGAAATGACCAGGACAAAAATAAAGTAAGAAAATCAACAAAGGGCAATAACTCAAAAATAAGAAATGCAGAGTATCAGTTCTTATGCACTGCACTTCTTTTTAATGAGATCTATCATCCTATGAAGTTTCAAGTCCATAACTTTTATACTTTCTGAGAAATGGCCTAGACAAAAATTAAGTATGAAAATTAACAAAGGGCCATAACTCAAAAATTAAGAAATGCAGAGTACCGATTCTTGTGCACTGCACTTCTTAATAATGAGATCTATCATCCTATGAAGTTTCAAGTCCATAGCTTTTATACTTAAGGAGAAATGGCCCGGACAAAATTAAAGTATGAAAATAAACAAAGGGCAATAACTCAAAAAATAAGAAATGCAGAGTACCAGTTCTTGTGCACTGCACTTCTTCTTAATGAGACCTATCATCCTATGAAGTTTCAAGTCCATGGCTTTTATACATTAGGAGAAATGGCCCGGACAAAAATAAAGTATGAAAATTAACAAAGGGCAATAACTCAAAAATTAGGAAGTGCAGAGTACTGGTTCTTGTGCACTGCACTTCTTAATAATGAGATCTATCATCCTATGAAGTTTCAAGTCCATAGCTTTTTTAGTTGAAGAGAAATGGCCCGGACAAAATTAAAGTATGAAAATTAACAAAGGGCAATAACTCAAAAAATAAGAACTGCAGAGTACCGGTCCTTGTGCACTGCACTTCGGGTTATTGAAAGAAGCATGCATACCAAGTTTGAAGTCAATCAGACTTATAGTGACTGAGTTATGCTCCGGACAAGCTTTAGGGGACGCCGACGCCGACGCCGCCGCCGACACCGCCGACAAAAGTAACCCCTATATGTCACCTTTTCAAGGCGACACAATAAAATTATAAGGAAAATGAATGACCCCGGGGCGGGGCCAATTTTGACCCCAGAGCTTTTATTTGAACAAACTTGGTAGACACTCACTAGCAGATGTTTCATGCTTAGTATCTAAACTCAAGCTATTTGGTTTTTTTCAAAGAAGATTTTAATTTTTTGCTATACACATTTAAGGAAAGTCAATGACCCCCTGGGGCAGGGCCAATTTTGACCCCAGGGCTCTTATTTGAACAAACTAGGTAGACATCCATTAGAATATGTTTCATGCTAAATATCTTAGCTCTAGCTCTTTGGGTTCTTTAAAAGAAGATTTTTTAAGTTTTTACTATATGCATATAGGGAAAATCAATGACCCCCTGGGGCGGGGCCAATTTTGACCCCAGGGCTTTTATTTGAACAAACTTGGTAGACACCACTAGAAGATGTTTCATGCCAAATATCTAAGCTCTAGCTCTTTGGGTTTTTAAAAGAAGATATTTAAAGTTTAGTTTTTTCTTTCGTTTGCCATGGCAACCAGAGTTCTGCATGGAATTAAAATTCTTTGAACAATTTTTAAAGGTGACCACCAAAGGAACATTCCTGTGAAGTTTGGATGAAATTGGCTTAGTGGTTTATGAGGAGATGTCGTTTAAAGTAAAAGTTTACGGACGCCGGACGAACGCCAGACAAAAAGCGATCACAAAAGCTCACCCTGTCACTTTGTGACAGGTGAGCTAAAAAATCAACGCACATTTTGTACTTAACAATGTTGTCAAATAGCTGTCAGTTTTATTGTTTGTTTTTTTTGCCAGGCTTGTTTTACCAAATCTTAAATTGTTTTTTTTTTACTTATTGGTTTTGTTTTTTCTTACTTACTCTATTTTTTGGGGGGTAAAAATGCACAAATAGTGGAGAGTAAAAACTCAATGTACATGACTCTCATCTGATTTAGCATCATCATTTTGGTTATTAGACAAGTAAATGATCACTGTCACAAAAATTTTATCTACAAAATTTACACAATTCAAGTATGCTTCAACTCTTGTAGATTCTCTGTAGATTTCAGTCACATTGCCAACATATTTCATTGATCATATATTTTTAATCAATCTTTTATCTTAAATTTTTAATAGTTCAATCTTCTGCAGCAGCTGCATTGGCTTGTGTAGATTTTTTGGTTGTCATGGCAATGTCCTTGACTTTATTTATAGATTCTTCAATGACCTTCACATCCTCACTTTCACCATTTTCTGCTGACTGTTGTCTCTGCAGTTGAGCTATCACAAGGTCTATAAATATATATAAATATTCAATGGCAAATTTGTACATTTTTCTGAAAATAAACCATTTATACATAAAAATTGGTTGATGTAACATAAACAAATTTTAATTTTTACATGTACAATATTTGTTTCAATGTGATAAAGTTACTAATTTACAGTTAGAATGGAAATTTTAACAGGTTCAATCTAATCTATCTATGGTCTAGTACAAATGAAGGGTAAGGAAAATAAAGGGTATTAATACAAAGTTCACTTACAAAAGTTACAGAAAAATAACACAGAGAAAACTGCCATGTCCCATTAGTTAAAACTTTTTAGTATATATATAAATAGAATTTAGGGCTACAAGGTCATCTCCTGAAAATACCATGTATACTAGTCTGCTCTGAACCCGTGTCATTGATGAAACTGTGGTAAATTGAACATGTGCTAATTTGCATACAAAGCACAATCTATAGATATGGCAGATTAACATAGATGTTATTGCTCTAAATCATTGACTAAAACTTTGATGGTCAGGAGTACTTTTAGTAATATAATGAAAATAGTCCTGTATATCATTATTACAATTTGGCAATGTGCATGTTGGCCAGGCTTTAAAGTAGTGGTGAAGGCCTATCACTTCCAGTGCTAGCCAGGGTAAGGGTTAAAATAAACATACATAAATATCCCTGCTATTTTTATTTAACTGCAATATGGTGGACATGAACATTTTTTGAAGTAAAACAAACTTTTAAGTTAATCCTAAATTTTACAAAAATTCAAACATGTCACAAAAGTTTATAAATATGATTTTTTTTTACAAATATTTAGAATTGTACACAGACTTAAATTAGTTTTTAAAAGTAATAGAAAGAGCATCGAAACGTGAGGCTATCTGATTTGTAATAAGAGGGCTTAACCCCCCATGTATAAATCAGATTGCTGAGTGTTTTGATGTTCTTTCTCTTTTGTATCATAGACAAAAATAAAAACACATTCCCTGTTGTCATAATATGAAACCCCAGAAAAAAGTTTCCAATGAACGAGCACTTGAATATGATATTTCTATCCTTATTTCTCAGTCGTCACATTATGAAAACCCCAGGGAAAAATAAGCCAATCAATGATCAGGCTATGGAGTGTGGGTAACTAATACCTGCACTCCAGTTAAAGCACTGTGCATGACTGTATGTGTATACGATTTAACTCTTGACACATTTTCAACAGAAAAGGTCCCCAAACTATGATACAAATCTATTTGTTATAGTAATAAAGAACTGAAACAAATGCTTTCAGCAAACACCAATATATTCTCTAAACTAGCCAATATTTGTGTAATAATAAAATCCATCAAGGAAACCCTAAAAAACGCTCTAAATCACAATCACTTGGTTAAGAGTCAAACAAGTTGTAGTTATTGATCATTGTAAAAAGAACAGAGCCTCAGGTATTATGTGTCCAGTTTAACACTGCTAGATAATTCAACAGCCCAAGTGATGATGCACACAACCTACTGTGCATATAAGTATCTAAGAGAGGGAGTTTGGAAGTTCTCTAAAAGAGGAAATGTGGAGGCTCTGTAAGGGAGGAAATGTAGAAGTTTTGTAAAGGAGGAAATGTGGAGGCTCTGTAAGGGGGGAAATGTAGAAGTTTTGTAAAGGAGGAAATGTGGAGGCTATCTTAGAGCTCTATCTGGCAGAACATCAAACACAGGATGAATGTGAAATCAACAGCAAACTTTTGAAGGTGTATGTTTTTTTTCTACCTCTTGCAATAAGTGAAGGTAAGTATATATATAAGGAAGATTATATATTATACACATTGGAATGAAAAGAAAAGAAATCTATGATTGTATACAGATATGTTGTATACTGCTAGTGCATGGAGAAATACTATAAAATGACCTCGTAAGTTGCCTAGTGATGAATATTTTCCTGCCTGTAGTTGCTGAATTAATGTGTTGTACAAATCAAGCCGTGTTAGATCAGGGTTACCTTCCTTCTCAAGTAGTATCAGCAAATGCACTGTACAGACATTGTAATATGTTCAACATCTCACACATTATACCTATGCCATGATTTTCTTATTGTGCCATATTTTGGCATATTGTCATCTATTTTTATATCATTTATGCAGCGAATACACATTCTTTAAAACCAAGTATAAAGAAACTATAATCTGAAGAAATGGTGTCTAACACAGAAAAGAATGTGACAAATGTATACCATTTTTACAAGAAGCAAATATTAAAACTAAGGCCAGAAATGAATCAGGATTTTTCGAATATTCATTTCCCACATTTAATGGTTTCTTTTCATAAAAATATCTCTTTCCCTTATTTAGCATCCCAAAGTTTATGTATTAATCAACTGTAGATTGAGTTATGTGTTCATTAGACCACATTTAACTAGAACTATCACTAAATGTGATTAATACCCCCACAAGACTGCTTCGGAAATGAGGATGTTACTAGTAACAGAATACCTTGTAAAAGAATTGAAATATAGAGTTATGGTTGTGGGCAATTAAAGATAGTTGTGGTTCTTGTATATTGCATTTTCTTTCAATGTGGTTGGCCATTGATGAAGTTTTATTGAATTACTCTGTAATAAGTCCAGAAAGACAAAGAAAAGGAACAAAGGGCAATAACTCTATAAATACTGAAGATGGAGTTATAGTTCTTGTGCACTGCACTACCTCTTTTTGTGCTTGACCATTGTATGAAGTTGTTTTGAATTTCAACCAGTACGTTTTAAGTTATGCTCCAGACAAGGAAAAGTATCAAAAGGCAGTAACTCTGTATTTTGTCAAAATGGAGTTATGGCTCTTATGCACTGCACTTCCTTTTAATGTCCTTGACAACTGTATGAAGTTGTATTGAATTCCAAACAGTAGTTTTCAAGTTATGCTCTGGACAAGGAAAAGTAACAAAGGGCAATAACTTTGTCAAGATGGAGTTATGGTTCTTGTGCACTGCACTTCCTCTCAATGTGCTTGACCATTGTATGAAGTTATATTGAATTCCAACCATTAGTCTTCAAGTTATGCTCCGGACAAAAAAAAGCAATGGAAAAGTAACAAAGGGCAGTAACTCTGTAATTAGTCAAGATGGAGTTATGGTTCTTGTGCACTGCACTTCCTCTCAATGTGCTTGACCATTGTATGAAGTTATAATGAATTCCAACAATCAAGTTATGCTCTGGACAAGGAAAAGTAACAAAGGGCAATAACTTTGTCAAGATGGAGTTATGGTTCTTGTGCACTGCACTTCCTCTCAATGTGCTTGACCATTGTATGAAGTTATATTGAATTCCAACCATTAGTCTTCAAGTTATGCTCCGGACAAAAAAAAGCAATGGAAAAGTAACAAAGGGCAGTAACTCTGTAATTAGTCAAGATGGAGTTATGGTTCTTGTGCACTGCACTTCCTCTCAATGTGCTTGACCATTGTATGAAGTTATAATGAATTCCAACAATTAGTCTTCAAGTTATACTCCGGACAAAAGAAAGCAATGGAAAAGTAACAAAGGGCAATAACTCTGTAATTACTTTAGATAGAGTTATGGTTCTTATGCACTGCACTTCCCCTTACTGTGTTTGACAATTGTATGTAGTTGTTTTGAATTCCAACCAGTAATTTTCAAGTTATGCCCCGGACAAGGAAAAGTAACAAAGGGCAATAACTCTGTAATTAGTCAAGATAGAGTTATGGTTCTTGTGCACTGCACTTCCTCTCAATGTGCTTGACCATTGTATGTAGTTATATTGAATTCCAACCATTAGTCTTCAACTTATGGTCCGGACAAAAGAAAGCAATGGAAAAGTAACAAAGGGCAATAACTCTGTAATTACTTTAGATAGAGTTATGGTTCTTGTGCACTGCACTTCCCCTTATTGTGTTTGACAATTGTATGAAGTTGTTTTGAATTCCAACCAGTAGTTTTCAAGTTATGCCCCGGACAAGGAAAATGCAACGGACGTCTGGACCGACCGACCGACCGCCCGACCGACCACCGGGTGACTCCTATATACCCCCCCAAACTTCGTTTTTGGGGGTATAATAAGAACATTCCGTAATAAGGAATCCCTTCTAAAACTACACAAATTTCCATATACTGCTTGCTCCTACATTATAGAAAATAACTACCAATTCAGATCCCCTTATTCCATTAAAAACTAATTTTGAATATTCAAATGTAATCCCCAGTCCTTTTTAAGACAACCCTCTACCTTGCCCTGACAGCAAAATTGTTTCTACAAATTTTTCAATAACCACCTTGTTTTGTTTCAAAATTTAATAAATCTAACGTAACTCACAATCTAAAAGCATGATAATAAATACCTTGAAGTGTGGTTAACTCCTTGAACTTCTCTGGTTCAATATGGTCCTTTAGGAACAAGACAACCTGTGGTACACATTTACCAGGCACATGTATGATAGACTGAGTGAACTTATGGAACAAAATAACGCAAGCAAGATGTAACGTCATGGCGGCATCTGTCTCATTGGTTAACTGTTCACATAGTGCTTGTCTATGACTGAATGTTAACTGCCTGTAATGTCAATTTAAATCAAAACTATTATTGCCATGGAAATGAAATTTAAGAAATGTTAATAATTTTCACATCTAAAATCCTCATAGATTACATACTAATGAGTTTCAGGTTATTTTTGTGTTAAGTCAAAACAACGCTACTTGTGCTACAAATTTCATATGGTGCTTTTCTACCTTTACTTATTGAAGAAGACTTTTCAGGACACATTTTTGCCTCTTAAGAAGAACCACCAATCTTCTATAAGCTAGCTGAAAAGTTTTCTCACATGAAAGAATACAGCCTTGCATAATTTAAACCCACAGTAGTAAGTTTGTCTGTTTGGATTTTATTGGGGAAGAACACAATTTAGGTCATATGGTGCCGAAACAGGAAAGAAGATTTTGGCAAACCTTGGGTGTTACAAATTTAAAGCAATACTAGGAGTCAAAACCATCTCAGCTGCTGGAGCAAAGGGATGCATAGACCCCAGTTATTCGAACTCATTAAGTCGCGTCTTACAATCACACAGGGCTAAAATACTGATGTGTCAACCTTTAAAGGTAATCCCTTAGCCACAAGGGTTAAGGCAAGTTCCAATTTCAGCGTTCCATTGTAAGTACATACATGTAGTACCAAGTTATATTAAATCTAAAGCTTTTGTATTACACTCATACAAGATGTAGAGTTTAAATAATACTTATTCTAACACAACCCAGATTTTTTCCTATTGAACATAGAAGGACCAAAAGTGTGTGTTATTATGCAATAAAATCTCTGTTGACGTTCTATATTTAGACATGTGATGTAACCGCAAAAAATGGGAAGCACTGAAAATAAGTACAGAAACAAATCCGGCGCAATTTAGTTTAATGTCAGGTTCGGCAGTATTTATTTTTTGATGATGTGTTAGAATCGAAATAAAACATTGTTATATATCCAAATCAGTGATTTGATAGCTTGATAAAATCATTGTTGTTCGCATGCACATCATTATATCACTCGGACTACGCCCTCCTGATGTAATTCCTCGCATCCCAACTCCATTTTATAAAGCAATAAAATCACTATTTCGGATATATTATTTCTTAAATAATGCTTGTTACTGTTTTCAGTCAAATTATCAAGTTACTGAATCAAATCCAGGAATAATACTCCAAATAATGAAGTCAATAAATCCTTTATGTCTACAAAAACACATGCTTTAATTAATTAAAGGTTATTTTGTTTTGCTATAAATGTAAAATATATACTGACAAGGCAAAATGTTTTCTTAACTTAGTTTCATAAAACTGGAATACAAGAATGAAGCAAGTCTGCAACATAATTAAAACAAAGATCGTTCACAACAATGATAACAGATAATACATCATATATACTGTACCTTTCTTTCTTCTTGTCTGGTTTCTTTAATATTATACTTAAATGTGAAGCCCCACATAAAATATCTAACGTGTTGAAAAAATCATCCAGAGACTGAAATTATAGTTCAGTTTTTATTTAAAACAAAAATTTATATCATTATTATTATGTTTGGTATTAATGCACATCAATACAATTTAGGTTACATGGCCTTGATACAGGAAAGATGATTTTGGCTGACCTTGGTTGTTACAAACTTAGAACAACACGATGGGTCAAAACACCTCATCTGCTTGAGCTAAAAGATACATAGACTCCAGTTATTTGAACCCATTTAGAAGCCTCTTACGATCACACAGAGATAAACGATGGCTTCAATTCTGATGCCTCAACCCATAAGTCACAAGGGAAAACAAAAGTTTATTAGTGCATTCAGGATGTATCAAGAAATCTTTACATAAACATAAACAACGATTGATATAAATTCATTACTCCAACAAACTGTTCTTAGATTTTGTCAGGATTTCACAGCATTTCTTGTTCTTCATATTACACTTGTCAATGTAAGGCTTAAAATTCCCTTAGCAAATTTATGTATCCAAAAGACAACTCTCATCTGTTAAACAGAATTAGAATAATTAAAGTTGTCAATGAATGATCACTGTATTATAATAACAGTATTAAATTGACAATTCAAATTTATAGACATACCTTTCCATTTAATGAGCTGTTTAATTTGAGTAACTCCCCTTGAATATCACCAGGTAACTTTCCTATAAGTTTGGCACGACTCTGTAAAATATAATAACCAATATATAATCTGTTCCCTACACTCTATATATAATACATGTAATAGTATACATATTAAGATATCTGCTATGTATATTTCTAGAGTTAAGATTCAGAATAGTGTGGGATATTTTTACAAGTTTATTTGTTGTTTTGCTTTTTTCTCCAAGTTCAGAAATACTCCAAGCATACATGTATATATATAAATATTCCAGATAATCTGAACACTGCAATCTGAGAACAATGTTAAAAAAATTTTGTCTTAAGAGTTATATGAGTAAAACAGGAATTATCTAATTGTAAAGGACAATCTCAAGAGTTAAATTTCGATTGAGTAATTATCATTAAACATGTAATAAGTTGTATATTTGCTGTGCACTCTTTCGCCGAGTGGTTAAGACTACCAAATTCAAATCACTTGCCTATAACTGTTGTGGGTTCGAATCCCATCCAGGACTTAGACTCTATCAAGTGCAGAAGCTATCCAGCTAGCTTTTGAAAGGTGTTAGTCAGAAATAATGCATATAGAAAATGTACACTGGACATCTTCATTAACCAATACAGCTCGAAAATAGTCATATAATCGTTCCTTTTGTATATCACAAATATTAAATTAAATAGGCAGTGTTGCACAAGTACAACACTCACATGTAGAGATGTAGGTAAAGAATCCATGAGATATTTTTTTTTGCTGCATAACCCTCTGAATATGTCTATACTGTAAAAAGTATTGTATGAAAATAGCTCATAAATTTTTCAATTTTACTTATGAAAGACTCCCTTGACAGAAAATTATTTAATTTGTTTCTCAATGAAGTGTATCAAATATATTTTACCTCATTTGTAAACAGTGTTTCATCAGCTACAGATAACATATGATCTGTGGCTACAGAATTCAGGACTAAATTAGTTATATCTGTACATACTGTCCGTAATAAATGCCGCACTAAATTTGTCTGTGTCTCTTCTGAAATATGGTGTGATAAAATCTTTACATATATCTGCTCATACTACATTTAAAACCATACAAAAGTAATGAGAAGTTATGACAAACCATATTATATTATCTTATGAACAATATGATATCTGTTATATTTTCTTCCTGTATATCCCTTTTCATGCTCAAATATAGAGAAAACTAGTCAAGGTATAATAGGTTAAAATCTGTAAAACAATCTTTGTTCCCATTAAATGCACGACTGTGTGACTTGATATGATGACAGCGTAGGTAAAATCTGCATTCTCTCTTGTAAATATTCTCATATTTAATTCAATTTCTAATCTGTACTTGTCATATCTAAATCTTATCAAAAGTGTTAGTTGCATAATATGATTTCCTAAAAAAATGTATTTGAGCCGCGTCATGACAACGTAATGCGTTTGCGACCAGCATAGATCCAGACCAGCCAGCGTATCCGCGCAGTCTAATCAGGATCCATGCTGTTCGCTATCAGTTTCTCTACTTGTTATAGGGTTTGTAAGCGAACAGTGTGGATCCTGATCAGACTGCGCGGATGCGAAGGCTGGTCTGGATCCATGCTGGTCGCAAACGCATTACGTTGGTTTTGTCGTGACACAGCTCATGTATTTATTCTTACCACTAAATAGTTTTAATCCCTTTTCAAATAACCTAGCGTTTGTCCATAAGCCAACCAATTTTTCTTTCATTTCCACATGGGTTTTCTTCCTTTCATGACTAGATGCCCCAGAAGTTTGCAGGAAAATTGATTTGGCTACATCTTGATATTGTTTGGTGAGAGGCCTGAAAAAAAAGCGTTCAAAATCTATTATATTTGTAAAGTAGTTTATCTCATTTCACACATAGTTGATGTTCAGTTCAGCTAAGACTTGTGTTTATCAGAAACATGATAGAAAACTCTGTTAAAATTGCTAAAACTAGCAGTAATATGGGTTTATCTCATACCCCAAGCGTAAAACTTCAAGGCTTATTTCCAACAGAAGCTGTCATCTTCCGGTTAGAATTTCTTAAACATTTACCAAAGCAAAAACATAGTGTCTATCAATCAAGCATCTTATCTATATAACTAAAGTCAAGTGCTACCTTACCTAAGATCTGACTTGTTTGAAATTAACTCATAACATCCCATCATCATTATATAAACATATTCAGGCATTTAGGGACATCCTGGGGATATCTTTTCAAGTTCAGTGGCCATATGGTTAAGGTGTCTGCCTCTCAACCCAGGGTTCATGAGTTCAAGCCCAATAGTTGAGTCACAACCATGTTTCTTCATATGACCCCAGTACTGTTAAGTTCCAGGAAGTGGACTCTAAAGTGGTTATTATATGTTACAAGAATTTGTCTCGCAATCAAGCTAAAATAAATATATTTAAACTAAGTCAGTCCTCACTAAAAATCCGAATTACCTTATCAACTGTTGAGCAATTTCTGTGACTAGTTCTTCAGGACAATCTCTCAGAATATCATCTTTTTGTAGCACTTCTTCAATCTCTTCCAAGGTCATGAACTCTATCTCTGTTGACCTTGACTTTGGTTTGGCGACAATTTCTTCATCAGAGTCGTTGTCATGGTCACGACCTTTATAACCTTTTTTCTTCACAGCCTTGGTTTTGATTTCACGTCCCTGAGTTCCTCCACCAGATTTTGTACTGCCACTTCCAGCTGTGAATAAATAGTACAAAATAAAATATGGGAAAACACCAAGGCAGTAAAATTCATCTTTAAGCAAAACTGTATTATTATTTTTAGCAGTTTTTTTTTTATCTTATTTTACTAGCTATTTCAATTCAAAGTCTGACATTCTTTGCTTTTCTACCTTAGTGTAAACTGACTAATGTATAAACAATGACAGATTTTACTTTTGCAAAGTAAAAAACTGAAACCTGATCATTTCACCAAAATAAATAATAAATATTACAAATAAATATCACATCATTTATAAAACTGATATTCCTTTTTTATGCTTTTTTGTCAAATCTTGCCTTATCTTTTACATTATAATTTAAATACCAAAATGAGAATGTTCCCAATTAAAGCATTCTGTAGAGCTTTCATACATGTATATAATAATGTAATTTCAACAGCCAAACATTTCACTGGGAAGTAATAATTGATACTGTATTTAGCATGTTCAATGACAAGACTGAATGATATATGAAGTTTGTTACACTAATCAGGGTCTTTCAAATAGAATGGTCTGGATACGGACCAATTTTACGAAAAAAGCTGTCTCGGTTGAGTCACGTGATTGGGTTATCTACTGACCGTGATCTAGCATAGCACATCACCATTCAAAAATCAAATTATAAGATAATGTTTTGTTAAATCAATAAAAAACAAGAACGTGTTTGTTAAACACAAATGCCCCCGGCTCAGATTCTTGTCAGTAGCAATACTTCAAAAAATGTTTACCCATTCACTCAGTTATGGACAGAAAAATCGCCAAAAAATTGTAAACACAAGTTTTATAGCTTGACCAAGTCATGGCATTCTGTAATTGTGAAAAATATAAGTTGCCAAGTCATTGCTCTGACTTGTGAAGTTGAAAAATATTTAACTTCATGCAAGTTAGATTCCTACCAAATATGAAATACATCTGTCATTAAATAAAGGCTGTATGGGCAAAAGTGTAAAAATCTATTTTGAGCACTGGTGACCTTGACCAAACTGACCCCTAACTCTATCCAAAAGAAGAATACCATGTAAGTTACCTTCCTACCAAATATGAAATACATCTGTCAATAAATAAAGGCTGTATGGGCAAAAGTGTAAAAATCTATTTTTAGCACTTGTGACCTTGACCCAACTGACCCCTTACTCCATCCAAAGGAAGAATACCATGCAAGTTATCTTCCTACCAAATATGAAATACAACTGTCAATAAACAAGAGGGCCATGATGGCCCTGAGGTCGCTCACCTGTATATAGGCCCCCAGAGCGGGGCCAGTTTAAACCCCAGGGCTTTTATTTGAACAAACTTGGAAGACACCCATTAGAAGATGTTTCATGATGTTAAGTTTTTACTACACACATATAATGAAAAAAATGACCTCCTCCACCCCATTCCCTCCCCCCCTCCCTTCTCCCCCCCCCCCCCCCGGCCAGGGCCAATTTTAACCTAAGGGCTTTTATTTGAACAAACTTGGTAGACACCCATAAGATGTTTCATGCTAAACATCTAAGCTCTAGCTAATTGGGTTTTTAAACAAGAGCTGTCCGTAAGACAGCGCGCTCGACTTTTTTATTGCTTGCCAATAAAAAAAGTTTTTGCAGTAAAAGGCAATACAAGAATCTCTGTATTTTTAAAGTGAACAATGGCCATGAGCATTAAGATATTTAGTGAAGAATTATTTTACTGAATTGTGTGATACCCTTGAACACTGCAGCAACTTAAACTTAACCAAGATTCTAAGTCGATAAAAGGCCTTAATTTTTAAAACAAATCCTTGACAGAGTTACCTTCTCTTGCGTACAGATGGGGGTAATGATGTGAAATAGCATTTAAAGTTTCAAAGCAATATCTCAAAGGGTTAAGGCAATAAGTGGATTTTACCCATATTCAATGTATTTTCTAAGTCAAAAAGGGGCATAATTCTGTCAAAAACCTTGACAGAGTTATGTCCTCTTGTCTGTTGATGAAGGTCGTGATGGTAAACAAGTATGGTCAGTTTCAAAGCAATACCTCCAATGGTTTTGAAATAAAGTGAGGTGGTACAAAAAACTTAACCAAGCTCAATACACTTTCTAAGTCAAAAAAGGGCCATAATTCTGTCAAAAACCTTGACAGAGTTATGTACTCTTGTCTGTAGATGGAGGTTATGATGGTGAACAAGTATGGTAAGTTTCAAAGCCATACTTGTAATACTTCTGAAATAAAGTGGGGTGGTACGAAAAACTTAACCAAGGTGTGACGCCGACGCCGACGCCGGGGCGAGTAGGATAGCTCCCCTTTTCATAGAAAAGTCGAGCTAAAAAAAGATTTTTTAAGTTTTTACTATACACATATAGTTAAAAACAATGACACCCCTCGGCGGGGCCAGTTTTGACCCCAGGGCTTTTATTTGAACAAACTTTGTAGACACTTACTAGAAGATGTTTCATGCTTAATATCTAAACTCTAGCTATTTGGGTTTTTTCAAAGAAGATTTTAAAGTTTTTGCTATACACATATAAGGAAAATCAATGACCCCCGGGGCAGGGCCAATTTTGACCCCAGGGCTTTTATTTGAACAGACTTTGTAGACACTCACTAGAAGATGTTTCATGCTATATATCTAAACTCTAGCTATTTGGGTTTTTTCAAAGAAGATTTTTTAAGTTTTTGCTATACATGTACATATAAGGAAAATCAATGACCCCCTGGGGCGGGGCCAATTTTGACCCCAGGGCTTTTATTTGAATAAACTTGGTAGACACCCATTAGAACATGTTTCATGCTAAATATCTTAACTCTAGCTCTTTGAGTTCTTTAAAAGAAGATTTTTTAAGTTTTTACTAAATGCATATAGGGAAAATCAATGACCCCCTGGGGCGGGGCCAATCTTGACCCCAGGGCTTTTATTTGAACAAACTTGGAAGACACTCACTAGAAGATGTTTCATGCCAAATATCTAAGCTCTAGCTCTTTTGGTTCTTTAAAAGAAGATATTTAAAGTTTTTTCTTTTGGTTGCCATGGCAACCAGAGTTCTGCATGGAATTAAATTCTTTGAACAATTTTTAAAGGTGACCACCAAAGGAACATTCCTGTGAAGTTTGGATGAAATTGGCTTAGTGGTTTATGAGGAGATGTCATTTATTATATATTCTGAACAAGCAGTCTATGTTTTTCAACAAATTAAAAAACATCATTTTCTGAAATATTTATCATTTTTTCACAAGTTTAAAGATTTTTAAATGACATTTTGTTGTTAAAATTGTCATTTTTGCTCTTGTATTTTATATTCCCCCTTTTCTTGAACACTTACATAATTTGCGTATAACAAACTATATCAAGTTATACCGAGACAGGTTTAATTGTAGCGAGAAGAGTTTACAGAGTGTGTTTCCAGACCATTCTATTTGAAAGACCCTGCACTAATCTAGCACTATACAATCACACATAAATCCACCTACTTGCTGCTTTTTTCCGTCTCTGATCTTTCCTATCTTCCTTCGTGTTACCCCCTTCTGACTTAGAGGCTCCTGGATCTCCTGCTTCTGCGACCCCTCTAAACACAGGATGACTTTTAGCATCCTAGACAAATAATTCATCATATATCCATTGAACACTTCTTTCAAGTTATACATTATATAGATATGTATGTAATTGTATAATTGATAAACCAGGTTTTATAGCATGTATATTCCTGTTACTATAGTAATGACTTGACCATCAAAAAAATATAACAATTTTGCAATACATTTTTATCAGCTCACTTTAAATTTTTTCTCACAAATTAAACTTTACATAAAGCCAAGTGGTTAAGGTCATTCATTCAAACCACTTGCTCCTCACCGCTGTGGGTTCGAATCCCGACAGGGACTTTGGATTCTTTCATGTGAGGAAGCTATCCAGCTAGCTTACGAAACGTCGATGGTTCTACTCGGATATCTGTTAATAATTCAAGGAAGGGTACTGGAGGTCTACCTCCACCAGTAAAGCTGGAACGTCGCCATATGATCGATACTGTGTCAATTTAATTTTTCATATATTTTGCATTAAAGCTGTATGAATTTCATTATGTTTTTACACTGAAAAAAAAAATGTTGTATTAAATTACCTTCTCGGCTTTGACTGCCATTAATTGAGGGAATGGTTTAGAACACTGTGAGATGAGTTTATCACTAGCTACAATAGTATCACAACACACCATGGCCCCGGAATGACCCTTTAAACATCCTGTTAGAATTGTGTTCGCATCTTTTGGACTAAACACGGATGGTAGTAATGGCTGAAAAAAACACACAATAAGAACCTGCTGTATTACAGTATTAAATATATATCAGCCTGGAATAAGAGCACTGCATGCGGTGTTAATGTTTGTCTGTTAAAATGCTATGTTAAAAAGGGCATAACTCCAAAAATAATTATTTCAGAATAATGCCCCTTGCCTAGCAACTGAAATGTGTCATGATAAGCAAGTATTCCAAATTTTATGCTGACAACTTTTAAATGTTCGAATAACTGGCTACATTAAATTGTCTGCAAGACAACAACAAAGATGCTGCAGTGATTATAATAGGTTGACTTTTTCTTCAAAACAGACAAACTATAAATCATTATTTCTTTAACGGTGAGGCAAACAATTATGCAAAAACTTATACAATGGCAGTATCATGTATAATTCTGTATGTTCAGCAAGAAAAACCTTGTCACATACTCTAACACTAATGCTTTCACTAAAATAAACATTTGGTTAGTAATAATGCTGCAATGGATACAATGGTTTAGTTTTAATGTGAACTTTACACTTTGGCTATATTTCCATATCTAATAATCTAATAAAATGTATGCAAAAATAAGTTAAATAGAGAAACTCTGTTAATACATTACAATTGAAAAACTGCTGTATTTACAAAAGTTATTTTTCAAAATCACCTTTTTTATTAGGTGCCCAAATATTCTAAATACTTGACAGTAAGGGCCATAACTAAAAGGTAACTTAGACTTATTTTCCCTATGCCCATCATGTTAAATAATCACAAAGAACAACTGTGTGAAAACTGTACCAAATTGCACTCAAAAACTAATCTAAAGTGTCGAGATACCAACTTGCACTCAAAAACTAATCTAAAGTGTCGAGATACCAACTTGCACTCAAAAACTAATCTAAAGTGTCGAGATACCAACTTGCACTCAAAAACTAATCTAAAGTGTCGAGATACCAACTTGCACTCTAAAGTGTTGACAGTGTGGCCAGCATGAGTACAATAGCTACCTACTCTTCAAATACTTAAGCTGTAAAATAAAAAATTAAACTACAATAAAACATATACCATGATATCCACCCATGTACCATCAGCAAGTGCCTCCTCCACACTAGCCTCTATTTGTTCTTGTATAGCACGACCCGTGCAGCACGTACTCAGGTAAATCAGGTTGTCAGATTTGAAACGCTTCTTTATAAAATCTTTTGGGTCAGAGATTCCCAATCTTTTCATTGCATCATATTCTAAAATAAAACAATATAATTTTAAAATATACACTTCATACAGGTTTCATGTATCAGTAAAAACAAGAAACCACTTGAAAATTGAATTACATAAATGAGCCGCGTCATGACAGAACCAACATAATGGGTTTGCGACCAGCATGGATCCAGACCGTGCAGTCTGATCAGAATCCATGCTGTTCGCTATCAGTTTCTCTACTTGTAATAGGGTTTGTAAGCGAACAGCATGGATCCTGATCAGTCTGCGCGGATGCGCAGGCTGGTCTGGATCCATGCTGGTCGCAAACGCACTATGTTGGTTTTGTCATGACACGGCTCAAATGCTGAAAGGTAACTTAAATATTATTTTTTGACCTTTCATAAAAAAAACCCAAAGCCTTTTGAGCATAAAAATACATTTCCTTTTTATTGAAATAAAAACAATTGTACCAATTATTTAAGAATTACTAATAAATGACAAATGAATAAAGACTGATTTAGCATGTATATCAAGTCATGAAACAAACAGAGGTTAGAATCATATATTCAACACAAGTTTTTTTACCAGAACTGAAAGTGAACATAAAATAGACTCACCAAGGTATCCATTTTGTTTATAGAAGCTATCTACCCAGTCATTCTGTGATTTTGTATATATATCAGGGATATATGTTGCCTTATCCTGTCGACCAGATAATGTTCCTGCCAGCACTCTACTGTTTACTAACTCCTCCAGTATAGCTATAAATACAGGATAGTCACCTCAGTATATATGTACATGTAATAAAATCTAATATTTGATAAAGTCTTAACCATTAAACTGTTGGCGGTGACTAATTTTACCCATGCAAACCACACAACCAGTGCAGACCAGTATCAGTCAACACTTGTGCTGTCATATCATTGTCTGCACTGTTCACTTTTTAAATTCAGTAATTTTTGAAATTTTCACTATAAGTCCATATAAGCAAAATAGCATTTGCCACATACTACCATACAGGAGTGATAAACTGCCTAACTTTAACACACTCATTCTTTCTCAAATTAACGCTTTAAACAAAGTTTCATTGTGACCATGACCTATAAATGACCTTAAAATTGATAGGGTTTCTCTACTGCCCATGGTATATCAATATGTCTCTTCTATGTAACAGAAAAGACAGCTTACTTCTTCCAAAGTTTATCTTTTTGAAAAGAATAAAAGGAGTACATTTAATTTTTTGATTTGGGCAAAAGTTATATTAAAGGGGCCATTTTCCCTCACCCTGTCTATGGGTGTTATTTTTTAAACCCGGAAAGGGTTTTTATTTTATGAAAATATATACAAAAATAACAAGATCAAAATACATTTAAGGAAAAGCAGTTCTTTAATTACATAGAAATTTTTCCTCTCCTGGGAAATTATACTGTGAATTTTAAAGGGCCAACCAATATAGGGCCCGAAAAACAAAAAATATTTAAAACATGTTTCTTTTGGAAAAAAAGACCCAAAATTACCTCCCTTTCTTATTTTTATAAAGCTCTTATGTTCATCATAAAGGATTTCCCAATATAAGGTATGTAAGCACAAGTATGTAAACAAGGTGTGTAAAAACAAGTATGTAAATAAAACAAATTAGGTATATATTTATAAGTAAGGTATATTCATATAAGTATCTTGGAAGCTTATTTTGGTCCAACCTCATTTTTGTAAGATACATGTATATTTCACAACAATAAAGAACTAAAACATAAAAATATTTTTATGTACCTACTTTTCTCCAAACAAGTTTGAAATATTCACAGGCAATGTCATATTGCGCCCTTTGGGGGAAAAGCTACTTCACTTTCTTATAATTTGCATACTTTGAATTTTTAGAGAGGGGAAAAAAAACACCAAATAAATGAGGTATTAAACTACTTTTCAACTTTCAAAGTAGAATAATTATCAACGCTTTAGCAGCACTATGGTTCCTGACACAACACATTTGAATTTCTGTACCATAGCCTGATAAACAAGTTACAAATCTTAAAAGTGAAGCAAATTTAAAAAAAAAACATTTGTAATGGTGTATTCACCTTGTAACAGCACTGAAAACTCCACGTATCTGAGCTCTCATTCTTCGTATAAAGGCGTCAGTAAATATCACATCTTTATCATAGCTATCTACCTGTCCTTTAATAATTGTATCCAATCGTGAATGCAAGTTCTGAAAATAAAACCTTTTTATGCTTTTACATGTACAACAAATATTTGTTTTTTACTAGAACAAAGTGAAAGACATTCTAAAAGTAAGCATTGTCCATCAGCTTAGCAATCCAAGGGTCACTGGTCTGATCCTCTGCAGAGGCCAGGGGCGGCAAAATCGATTGTAAGTTTATGCTTCTTGCTGTTAATTTTATGAATTTGAACTTGAAACATTCAGAAGATATAGTTTGTTAACACATTGTGACTAATAATATTAAGAACATTTTAAATAATAATTCAAAGTGCATTAATGATATATTTCATATAATATAACTTCTCTTCACTGACAATTTATATGTAAATCATCTTTCATGAATAACACAAATTCTATAGTAAATCTCCAAACAAAAGTCCACAAGTATAATTTTATATGTTAGTGAGTATTTACTCTTATGTGTACATAAACAACTTGTTGGGATTTTGTACCGGTATCATATTGTTCCTAGTAAAATCAGAGAGACCTTGAAAACTCTTCTGTAAAGGGGAATAACCAAAATAGTGACACATGGACACTCTATGATGGTGATTCAACACAGTCATCCTGTTTAT